ACCACACCTGGCAAAATGTAATATTTTTAAGTTGATTTTGAAATGCGTCATTTATTCCCAATCACTTTGCTTCAGAATTCTTTTGGTTTTTGGTTTTTGTTGTTGCTGTTTTTCAAGACAGGGTTTCTCTGTGTATCCTTGGCTGTCCTGGAACTGGCTCTGTAGACCAGACTAGCCTTGAACTCATAGAGATCCATGTACCTCTGCCTACCTAGTATTGGGATTAAAGGTGGGTGCCACCACCGCCTGGCTGTTTCTTTTGTTTGCTTGGTTTTTTTTTTTTGTTTGTATGAGACAGGTTGTTAAACAGCCCCATTTGAACTCTGCTCTCTGTGTAGCTTAGGAGGAACTTGCACTCCTGATCCTCAGCCTCCATTCCCAATGTTGGGATGACAGGTGTGTGTCTATACCTGGCTTCACACAGACTTTAAAGAGTAAATGACAAGGTTTTACAGTTGCCCTGATGACACAACAACCATGACATCTATTTTGTGTCTCCCCCTCCCCATGTCCCAATTGAATAAATACAGGAATGTAGGTTTCTGTGATGTAATTCCCTTTCTTCTTGGATTTCCCTTTGTTTCTCACCATAGGAACCAGATGTTCAAGGACATCAAGTGACTGCTAGGTTCTCTCACATTCTACAGAAGGACGCCTTCCTGGTGTTTCGCTCCCTGTGCAAGCTGTCCATGAAACCTCTTGGGGAAGGACCCCCAGATCCAAAGTAAGCTCACAGCAGCTATGGCCACCTGCTAGCCCGTGAAGGGGGAGTTTGTGTTCTGCATTTTGTCCTCCCCTGGTTCCTATGGCATTGGTGTGGGATGGTTTCACAGCTTTCCAGACCCAAGCAGTTCCTGCACACACCCCACTTCCCTGCCATGCCTCCACTATCCAGAGTCTTACCCAGATTTCCTCTTGGTTTGTGTGTTGAAAACAGCGTGGACTTCGTGCTGTCTTTTTACTGACTGATGGGCTTAATCTGCTTGTGAATCTGTGAAGGGACAAGATGCCTACAGACTCCATTCCCGGCCCTGGTTGGAAACCTCAGCTCCTTGAACAGAGATTTAAGCCCCAGAGCCGAGTGTCTAAGCTTAGTGTCTCTCCACAGTGAAGTAGCTGATCCACAGTGTCTGTACTGTAAAGAGAAGAAAACTGGCTTTCTTTAGAGCCAGAAAGCTGCTTTTAGATCTTATGTCCTTTACTCGGGTGAAATAAGATGGATGCTGTTCTGAGTCCAGGGCAGTGCACTGTCCAGTCTCTGCTGTGCTGTCCTGACTGCTCTTCATTAACCCTCAGTCCTGTCGAGCACCGTGACAACCATTAGGAAAATGTGTTCCATTTTTCATACTTTGTTATGACTGTGTTTGTGTGTGATGTATGTGCTGTTGTGCTCTTGCAGAAATCATTATACAGCTTTGTGGAGTCAGTTCTCTCCACCTTTATGTGGGTTCCAGGGATTGAACTCAGGTCACCACGCAGCAGGTGCCCTTAGTTGCTGAGCCACTTCTTTCCCTGGAGCTGCCCTTCTGAGACAGCTTCTCATGGTGTAACTGGGGCTGACCTGGTTCATGTCAGCCTCCTCCTGCGCCAACTTCCTAGGTAGTAGGATTACAGGAATTTACCTACCATATCCAGCTAGAAAAAAATTCATTTCTCTTTATTGTTGTTTTAGCTTTATCTATTTTACTTTGTACATATGAATGTTTTGGCTGTATGCATGTATGTACACCATGCGGGTGCTGGGGATTGAACCTGGATCCCCTGCAAGAGCAACAAGTGCTTTTAACTTGTGAGCCATCTCTCCAGCCCTGAAGATTTATTGATTTTATGTTATGTGTATAAGTGTTTGGCCTACATGTATGTATGTATACCAGGTGTGTGCCTGGTAACCTTGGAAATCAGAAGAGAGTGCCAGATTTCCCTGGAACTGGAGGTACATATGATTGTGAGCTGCTGTGTGGGTGCTGGGAATGGAACCTGAGTCTTCAAGCAGCAAGTGCGCTCAGCCACTGAGCCATCTCCCCAGGGTTTGTTTGTTTGTTTTCGAGACAGGGTTTCTCTGTGTAGTTTTGGTGCCTGTCCTGGAACTCACTCTGTAGACCAGGCTGACCTCGAACTCACAGAGATCCACCTGCCTCTGCCTCCTGAGTGCTGGAATTAAAGGCAGGTGCCACCACCGCCCGGCTTTTTTTTTTTTTTTTAATTAAATGTGTAGCCCAGGCTGGCCTTGAACTTGTGATCTTCCTGCCTCTGCCTCCTTCAGCAAATACTACTGGCTTGTGCCACCACAACTGGCCCCAGTGCTCTTTTTTATTGTTGCTGTTTGTTTGCTGATTTTTTGAGGCAGGTCTCACCTTGTAGCCCTGACTAGCCTGAAATTTGCTATGTAGACCAGGCTGGCCTGTTAACTCACAGAGATTCCCCCTGCTTCTGCTATCCAAGTGCTGGGATTGAAAATGTGCACCGCTGTAACTGGTGCATTTTCAGTTTCTTAACCACCTTGCCTTGGGATAGTGGTGAGGGGTCTGTGAGACTGGTGAATGAAGAACCCCGGCCTGGGTACTTTCTAATTGCTGTGACAACAGTCCTGACAGAAGACACTGAAGAGTTACTGTGGCTCACAGTTTGAGGGTCGAGTTCATCACCGTGTGTGTGTGTGTGTGGGGGGGGTTGCGGCATGGCGGCAGGAGCTGTAGTAGGCGGCTGGTCACTTTGCATCCACTGTCAGGAAGTAGAGAATGATGGTCTGGTGCTTGGCCCCTCCCTCCTTTCTATGCAGTCTAGGATCCCCACCCATGAAATGGCACCACCCATATTAAGGGTCAGTCTTTCCTTTAATTAACTTAATCTAAACCCCTCATAGTCATGCTCAGAGGCTTATCTCCTAGGTGATTCTAGATCCTGTGAGGTAGATAGTGTTATCACAGCCCTGTCTTGGTGGCAGATGGAGAGTGAAGAGTATGGAGCTGAATCTCCAGGAGAATATTGTGAAGTAATTGCATCCAGGGATCCAGCCTAGAGCTGGCTCTCCAGAATTAACTCTCACCTTGTTCTGCCTATTATCCACTTTGTGTTGGGAACAGACAAAAAGGAGTAGGAGTTGGCCAATCTTGTTCTCAGAGGGCCTGCAAGTTCTGAGGGACCCATCTCACGCTCTCTGCCTTTGTCCTGTTGGCATAGAGGTCCTGTTTCTAATTCTCAAATCATTGGTCTCAGGAGGTTCTGCTTGGCTGGGCATGCTATGCATTCCTCTAATACCGGTCCTTGGGAGGCAGAGGCAGGAAGGTCAGGAGTTAAAGGTCATCCTTCGTCACACAGTAGCTGGTAAAAGATCAAAGGCTTTTCAAGAAACATACTGTTTGGGTTTGTGCCAATATTTGGCAAGCAGAGGCAGGGTCACAAATGCCAGGTCAGCTGTACACAGCTGTAGCCTATCTCAAAACAAAGCAAAAAGCAACCTCCTGTCTAACATCCCTCCCACTAGCACACCACCACTGATTGTCGTTGCCTTTGCAGGTCCCATGAGCTGCGTTCCAAGGTGGTTTCCCTGCAGCTGCTGCTCTCTGTGCTGCAGAATGCTGGCCCAGTCTTCAGGAGCCACGAGATGTTCGTCACTGCTATTAAGCAGTACCTGTGTGTGGCCCTGTCCAAGAATGGCGTGTCCTCAGTGCCTGATGTCTTCGAGCTCTCACTTGCTATTTTTCTTACTCTTCTTTCAAACTTCAAGATGCACTTGAAAATGCAGATAGAGGTACATACTTCAGTTAGTGTTTTTATTTGGGGACATTAATGCCAGATGAGAAGCCTGCTTGTGAGTCAGGCATGACACATGCCTGTAATCCTAGCACTCATGAGCTAGAAGCAGAGCAGTCAGGAGGTCAAGGACAGCCCAGGCTATGTAGTTCACTTGGGACCAGCCTGGGCTACATGACACCCTGTCTTCAAAAAAAGCGAGCAAGTAAGCTGCTGGTGGCCTAGCCACCATAGTAATGTACCCTTTACTAGCTAGCCTCCTAGTGGGACTTCTGAATGAGTGGGAAAGACCTTGTCAGAAAAGTTCTGTTCACCAGAGATTCAAGGTCATGGTCTGTGTTCTCAGATGAGACCCCACCCCCACCCCCAATGTCTGTCTGGGCTCAAATTATTTGAAATAATTTGAATTAGTTGTCAGATTGAAACATTATATTGCACACATATACATTTCTAGTTTTTCTTAAATCACAATACACGTGGGCCCTGTACTAGCTCCTCATCTCTGGGTAGAGCGCCTGCTAACTGTTCATCAACTAGGCTGGCCTCCCATGTCCCTCAGCAAGTGTGTGCCCCCCTTTGCCCTCTGCCCAGGCTGCCTCCCATAGTGTAAGAGCTGCCTGGCCCTAATTTGTTGGCATCTTGAGTACTAAATGGAGACTGCTCATTGCTCCTCCCTTGTCTTCATGCCACACAGGTCTTTTTCAAAGAGATTTTCCTGAACATTCTAGAAACATCCACAAGTTCTTTCGAGCACCGCTGGATGGTCATTCAGACCCTGACGAGGATTTGTGCAGGTATGTTCACCTGAGGACACTCAGAACAGTTTCTGAAGCTTTCGTCTGCCAAGTGCAAATCAAGATCTTGAGTTCCTCTTTGTAGTGTTTTAATAAATGATTGAGAAAATCCTTTCATTAAAGAGTCCATTCACAGGGCTGGAGTGATGGCTCAGCTGTGAAGAGCCCTTCCTGCTCTTATAGAGGACCCAAGTTTGGTTCTCAGCACCCACATCAGGTGCCTCACCACTGCCTGTAACTCTAGCTCCAGGGGATCTGACACCCTCTTCTGGCCTCTTTAGGCACTACACTCATGTGCATAAACCTTCAAACCAACATATACACATTTTTCCCCCTTTTGAGACAGAGTCTTACTTATATAGCCCAGGCTGGCCTCAAACTCATAGAGATTCCCTTGCCTCTGCCTCCTTAGTGCTGGGGTTTAAAGTGTGTACCACCACATCCAGCTTACACATACTTTTAAAAATATGAATAAAAAAATATATTTTGGGGTGGGGGTTTCCAAGACAGGTTTTCTCTGTGTAGCCCTGGCTGTCCTGGAACTCACTCTGTAGACCAGGCTGGGCTTGAATTCAGAGATCCACCTGCCTCTGCTTCCTGAGTGCCGGGATTAAAGGCATATATGCCACTACCACCAGCAAAATATATACTTTTTAATCTTAAAAAAAGAAAGGGGGGGTTCATTCACACTGACCAAGAAAGGCCCACCTCACCTCTCTTGTAGAGGATAACTGTCTCAAGCTGGTGTGCCAGGACTTTAGATGTTAGCTCCAAGTCTTACAAATCCCAGGAACTTACTGATCATGGCAGATTGGTTTTGGTGCTTCTGCACATTTAAATGGCTCGTTTGCCATTCTAGGGCTCTGCAGATAGGCAAACACTACCTCTGAGTGACTCCTCAACCTAGCCCTTTTAGCCCCTTTTCTTATGAGGAAACTGAACGTTTACAAGGTGAAACAGAGTGCCTGGGAGCAGGTAGTACAGAAGTGGGCAGGTCTAAGATCAGTAGACTACCCTACCCCATGCTTCTGACATATTTCCTGTGTAAGGTGTGAGCACCTCAGACAAAAGTTTCAGAGTATATTTTTAGCAAAGAAAGAATAACTAGGCTTAGTGGTAGAGTTCTTGTACAGTATGCATAAAGCCTTGGGTTCAATACCCATCCTGACAATATTGAAAAATGACATTAAACATTAAAAAATGTATCGTTTACCTTCGATTCAGATTTCTAATATGTGTATGTTATTTTCCAAGATGCCCAGTGTGTTGTGGATATTTATGTCAACTATGACTGTGACTTAAATGCTGCTAACATTTTCGAGCGTCTAGTAAATGATTTATCCAAAATCGCTCAGGGAAGAAGTGGACATGAGCTGGGGATGACGCCTCTACAGGTAAAAACACCAAGGTGCATGGTTGTCTGTAAAGTTTGCTCATTGAGATAAGCATCGTGAAGTGCCATCAGACGGCTGTCCTGGGTTTGCGGCTACCTTAGGGAGCAGAACACAGACACCCAGCTTCTGTTGTCGTGAAATGACAGTGAAGGAGAGAGTTGTCAGGTGATACACTGCAGAGGAGACTGCCCCATTATAGTGCCCTCAGGGAAAGGCAGTTCTCAGTCCCTGAATGGCCTGTGCAGAATCTTGGCATCTGGGCTTTTTCCTGTGGGAAGGCCAGAGCCTTATGTCCTTAGGGCCACAGGAAGATTTGTGCCACCTAAAGTGTTGTGAGTCTAAAGTAGTAGCTTTTTTTTTTTTTTTTTTTGGGTTTTTTTTTACTTTTTTTTGTTTTTTAAGTGTAAGAAATTCTACTTGTGTAGCAGGTGTGGTGGCACAGGCCTGTAATTCCAGCACTCAGGATGCTGAGGCAGGAGGCTCAGCATTGCCAAGCAGGCCTGGCCTATATATTGAGACCCTGTCTCAAAAACCAAAAACCCTATTTAAGTAAAATTGTATCCTTTTTTTGTTTTTAAGATTTTATTTATGTATGTATGTATGTATGTATGTATGTATGTATGTATGTATTTATTATGTATACAGTATACATGTGTTCCTGCAGCCAGAAGAGGGCACCAGATCTCTTTACAAGTGGTTGTGAGCCACCATGTGGTTGCTGGGAAATTGAACTCAGGACCTCTGGAAGAGCAGTCAGTGCTCTTAACCACTGAGCCATCTCTCCAGCCCGTAAAATTGTGTTCTTATTTATCTGTAGTGTACCTTAAAATGAAATACAGTTGTCGATATTTAGGGTATGTGTTCTATCTAGAATTATTCATGTACTAAATAATTGACTTTTTGTAGATCACAGGTTAATACTTTGTTATTTAAAATATTAGATTTTATTTTACTTGATAGTATTTCATTCCACAAGCAATGAATAGAGCCAGCCAGCATGCCTGCCTGCGTGCCTGCCTGCCTGCCTGCCTTCATCACACTCTGCCTGTTCCTTTGAGGTAGGGTCTCCCTGAAGCTGGAGCTCTTATTTTTTTTGGCTAGGCAGGAAGCCAGCATCTCCCCCAAGCCTCTTGTCTTGCCCCTAACAAAGCCAGGGTTTCAGGCATGAGCTGGTCACCCAGCTTGTTATTGGGTGCTGAGGTCCAAACTCTGGTTCTCGTGATTGTACAGCAGATACTCTTAACTACTTAGCCATCTCTCCAGCCCTTCAGTTAATGGGGCTGGTAAGATAGCGCAGTTGGTAAAGTGCTTGCCTGGAAAGCATGAAGACCTGTGTTTGATCCCCAGACTTCATGTACAATGCTGGTCGTGATGTCATGCAGTTATAACCCCGGTATGCTATGGAGGTGGAGACAGGTGGATCCTGGAGTTTGCTGACCAGCTAGTCTAGAGCTACAGGCTAATGAGAGATCCAAAGGAGGTGAATGGCATTTCTGAGAATGATACTCGAATTGTCTTCTGGTATCCACAGGTGTGCACATATGTACATATTCATGCATGCACACAGAGACAATTTTAAGAAGATACAGCTAACCCTTTGCACTTACAAAGTCACACAGGTCATATTTGAATCCTTACAGTGATGACACTATTAGTGATGACTAGGGTTTTTGATGTGCCATTAACACATGTCAGTTGTTAATAGTTCCCTGGGTTTTGTCTGTAGTAGTACTGATTGTTAGTGATTACCTAGAAGCCTCACAGGACTGCCCAAGAGCCCAAGAATGCTCATTGTAAAGTGTGTTAAGACTCTGTACTTTTCACTTTGGGCCTCTAGGAGCTCAGTCTGAGGAAGAAAGGCCTAGAGTGTCTTGTGTCCATTCTCAAGTGCATGGTGGAATGGAGCAAGGATCTGTATGTGAATCCCAACCACCAGGCCACCCTGGGTGAGTGAGCAACGTGAGTGACTCCTCCCTTCAGATGCAGCTTACCGCTGTGGGATAGGTTATGCTGGAATTGTGCCAAAGAGTTGTTGTGTTTCCTAATACCTGCAGTTACTGTAAAGCTTGTGTTTTTTAATACATCTGGAAGGTTGGGGGTGTTCATTGATTTTCCTGCAGCTCTGAGAAGATACTCTGACAGAAGCACTTATAGGAGAAAGGCTTTTTGTGTTTTGTAGTACTGAAGATTGAACCTAGAGCCTCATGCATACTAGTAAAGTGATTTACCACTGAGCTGCTCAGCCAGAAGGATTGATTTCATTTATTTATTTTTAAGGTTTTATTTTTGTTTTCCATGTGTGTATGCCATATGTGTGGGGGTGCCCGAGGAGGCCAGATCCCCTGAACTGGAGTGAGCTATTTGATGTGAGACTCAAACTTGGGTCCTCTGGAAGAGCAGTAAGTGCTCTTAACTGCCGAGCCATCTCTCCAGCCCTATTTAAAAAAATTATGTATATGTGTGTCTGTGTCTGAGTATGTGCACACAGTGCAGGTGCCCAAGAAGCCCAGCAGAGGCGTCAGTCTCTGGAGCTGGAGTTTCGTGAAGACATTGCAGGCTTCCCCTTGTGTGCTATGACCTGGCCCTACTGGACCTCCGTTCCTGGCCTCGCTCCTGCCACTACCCCGAGTCAGGCATGGGTCCAGAGAATTTTGCTGAATCTTCCTGTTCTCTTTCGTTTGTTTGTCCATGCTTACGTAGACACCATATTTGTGAATTATGTAGAGTGGTGGAAATTTGGATTTTGTTAAGGCAAGTCCGTATGTTTTTTATCAAGTGTCTTGCTTTTGCATTTTCTTTACTTGTGAATTTTAGAATTAGTTTGAGTTCTATGTTAACTAATTTCTGTGTGATGCTGAGGAAAGTATTTAAAGTGATAGGCTTGGCACCTGTGCCCCTTTGGACGCAAACCTCTGGTAGGTCTGACGAAGGGGTGCTGAAGCCAAAGCTTGCTCAGCCACACTAGTTCCATCTGCTTAGTTGGTTTGGCTTTTATGTCACTGCAGGTCAGGAGCGGCTCCCAGATCAGGAAATGGGAGATGGAAAAGGCCTTGACATGGCAAGACGGTGTAGTGTGACATCAGTGGAGTCCACAGTGTCCTCGGGAACCCAGACAACCATTCAGGATGACCCAGAGCAGTTTGAGGTCATCAAACAACAGAAGGAAATCATTGAGCATGGCATCGAGCTGTGAGTGTGGCTGCTGGGCTGTGCCGTCTCTCAGGGCTTTTGGCTTCCTCTAGAAGAAGCTTCCTCTTCTCTAGAACCTGGAGGCTGACTCCTGCAGGGAAATACCTGTGATGGGGCCTACTGGCTACCAGGCATGGGGAGAGAATGGGAACATGAGAGGAGGAGACAGGCTGTGTATGGAGGAGCCTCTGTACAGCTCAGGCCTGATTTCTTCCTTTTCTGATAACAAAACCCACCTTAGAAAACAGCCAGGTATAGTGGCTTAGGCCTGTAATCCTAGCCCCTTAGAGGCTGAGGCAGGAGGATAGTTTTGAGTTGAGTTCAAGACTAGATTGGGCTACATTGTAAACTCGGAGAAAACAAAGCCACCAAAAACCAAACGGGCTGGAGAGATGGCTCATTGGTTAGGAGCACTAGCTGTTCTTCCAGAGGACCCAGGTTCAGTGTTCACACTTTTGTGGCAGCTCACAACCATCTGTTAACTCTCATCCCAGAGGGTCTAATGCCCTCTTCTGGCCTTTGAGGGAAACTACACACACGTGGCTTGCAGACATAACATGGCTTGCAGTCAAACATGCAGGCAAAACCTCATACACATAAAATAACAATAAATAAAATCTCAAAAAATGACAATGAAACCAGCCAAAAGCACCTGGAAGAAGCCCGCTGTCTATTCCCTGAGCAGAGCTCAGGGTTCACTGTGTTTGCTTTAGCCTTGTGTAGGTTTTTCTGAACCATTTGAGTTTGTAGCATCACCATTCTTAGTCACACGTTTGAAACGTAAGAACATGCTCCACATCGCGGTGACGCCATCCTGTGGTGATCGCCCACTCTTTGTTTCTTCCTAGTCTCTTATGCACTTCAGCACGTCATCTTCTGTGCTGGGTGCTTTTGAATGAGCAAGTGCCCTTTAACAGTTGAAGCGAAGCACTCAGGCTTCGGATGCAAGTGCTGAGCTCTGTGTTCCTGCCTCACCGGTGATCCGTGGGGTGCTTTGTTTTCCCCATGGCAACTAAAATAACAGTTGTTAGTGACTTCACTGCAAAGAGAACAAGTGGTGGGATAGTTGAACTTGAAAACATAACGTAAGCCTCACCCTCCCTTGCTTCCTGTCGTGTGCCAGGAGCTGATCCTGCTTGGGCCTCCCACCCTCCCTCTCCTCATCTCCTGACAGCACACTGGCACACATGGCCTGTTTTTTAGTCCCCTGGTCACCATGGTGAAGAGCTCTCCTTGTTCTCTTAGTGCTCTTTGTTCGTTTTAATCCCTCAGACATGGGGCACTATTTCTTCTTCTTTGGCGAGGCCTCCCATAGCCATGCTGACCAAATCAGTCCAGTTTTCCCTGTCATTTCCATGTGTGTCTTCATGGCCCTTGCCTATTTGTGTTTGTCCCTCTCCCGTGCAGGACTTGGCAAAATGAACTTATCCATTAGTTAGTTTGCCTCTCCTTACTAAAAAGCATAAAGTAAATGTCTAGTACCTACTTAGCAAAGGATGGGCGGGCCAGAGTGACAGTTTGCGGCTGTTATGATGGGTCTTCTGGGCATCTGTGACTCATCCATGATGTTGGGCTACAGCAGCATTAGCCATCACATGTAGATGCCAGAAGAAGGGGGAGAAGGCAGGAGGAGCACACCTTATCGAGTCAGAAGTCCCCATACTTGCTGCTGTCTCACCAGTGGCTTGAACTTTGTGTTACTACTGTCCTGTATTCCTGATGGCTCTGTGCCCAGCTCAGTGCCCAGGGTTCTGTTAAACATGGGAGAGTGACTTGGTCGATGGGTAGCTAAGTCTGCAATTGCAGGGTGAAAAATTAAGAGCTGCTAAGGTGTGGTGGTTCACTGTGGTCTTGGTACTTGGGAAGCTTAGACAGGAGGGTTTCCATGGGGTCAAGGCCAACTTGGGTGGTATATTGAGGACCTTGTCTCAAAAAAACAAAATACAAGACCAAGTGTAGTGACACAAGCCTTTAATCCCAGCACTCTTGAGGCAGAGGCAGGTGGATTTCTGTGAAATGGAAGCCAGCCTGGGCTGCAAAGTGAGATCCTGTTTCAAAAAAAACTAAAACAAAACCAGAACAGGGCTGTTGAGATGGCTGAGTGGGTGAAGGTGCTTGCCATCAAGCTAGATGATAAAAGGTTGTAGAGGACCAAGTCCATACTTGATCACATGTGCACACATGTAAATAAGTAATTAATAAACAAATATGAAAAAACTTGATGGTAGAATTTAGGAATGCTGTGGGACAGTTGCTTTATCGCTGCTAGCTTTCTCTCTGTTCCAGAGATTGAAGTCAACCACCTGTGTTCTGTCTCCTCTCCTCTTGATACAGCTTCAATAAGAAGCCCAAGCGGGGAATCCAGTTTCTCCAAGAGCAAGGCATGCTGGGAACAGACGTAGAGGACATCGCTCAGTTTCTGCACCAGGAGGAGCGGCTGGATTCTGTAAGTCGGGGCTTGGCACAGCATGTGGCCCTGTGGGCTGGTGTTGGATCTCACTGACTTATACCTCCAGCTTGGATGGCCCTGAGTGCAAACTGCTTTGCACCCTGCCTCCTGTGGTCTTGCTCTCCTCTGGCACTGTATAGCGTTCCTTGATGAGAACAGGCTCTGCTTTGACCCACAGTTGCTTGTTTGGGGGCCAGTGTCAGAGTCCAAAGTGGCCCTTGACTACTAGAAGTTCTTCTCCGGCTGAGTATGTCTCTTGCCCCTCCATCTTTAAGCCTCATGGTTCTCCTCCTCTTCCCCTCTCTCTGACAAGCTGTCCTCCATATGGAAGCAGGGGCAGTCTTTCCCTGCTCCCCAGCAGTCAGCTGCTGTGGGCACTTGAGGACCTTTGTGTTCCAGCCACCGCCACCCCCCCAACAGTTTCTAGATGGGAGTGCATCTGTGTGTTTCAGACCCAGGTGGGCGAATTTCTGGGTGATAGCACGAGGTTCAACAAAGAGGTGATGTATGCCTATGTGGACCAACTGGACTTCTGTGAAAAAGAGTTCGTCTCAGCCCTGAGGACATTCCTGGAAGGCTTCCGCCTGCCTGGGGAAGCACAGAAGATTGACCGGTTAATGGAGAAGTTTGCCGCACGATACATAGAGTGTAACCAAGGGTGAGCGCTGTGGCAGCTACTTCTTCCTTCTTGTGGACACTTATCTTGACTTGAGGTTCGGGTTTAATCATTGCAGTTCTGCTAAGACACTAACGTGTCCGTTCAGGAAGAGTCAGGCTCTGCTCAGCAGGCAGAGGTCGGTAATGAGCCCTTGCTCAGCATGTGTGGAGCCCTGGGTTCCATTCCAGGTACCAGGTTGAAAGGAAATAAGAGAACCAAAAGCACAGACGGAGATGGAGTTCAGTGGAAGAGGGTGAGCAAAGCATTCATGGAGCCCTGGGTTGGGTTAGGTCCCAGTAAGGGGGGCGGGGAGACGAGACGAGTGGGAGGGGCGGGGCTGGAGAGAGGACAGAAATTTGCAGCAATCTTACTGTGTTCCTATACCACAGACAAGGAGGTGGGGACCAGAGAGGTTAAGTAACTTGCCTAAGAGCGCCTGGCTAGCCGGGCATGCTGACACTGAAGAGGTAGAGACAAGGGAAGTGAGGCAAAGGTGGCGGCGGCGGCCCTAAGCTACCTTGTCTGAAAACAGAAACAAGGGCTGAGGATAGAGCTCAGTGGTAGAGCACTTGCTTGGCTGCATAGGGCCTTGGGTTCAACATCCAGCATTGAAGGGAGCAGCTCACAGAGCTAAGGTCAAATCTTCCTTCACTTGAGAGTGGTACCTCTTCTCTAACCAACAGCTAGCATAGTGTGGAACTCAGAGGGTTTGTTGATTACATGCTGATAGTAAACTATAGAAGTGGCTGTGTAACTTTATAAAACCTTACAAGTACTTGGTTTTATCTTGGGTGTTTGAAATTTTGTTTTTTGTTGTATGTGTGTGTGTGCATGGTGATGCATATGGAGGGGCACACAAGTGCCAGGACTTAGATATGGAGGGTAGAGGACGACTTTGGGACCAGTTCCTCCTTCTGCCTGAGGTGGTACCTGCTGGGAACTGAACTCGGTTCATCAACACAGGTACCTTTGCCTGCTGAGCTGTCTCGGCAGCCCTGATTGTAGTTGCTTAGTAGTCAGTTGCTGTTTTTATAGGAAGAAGTTTTGGTCCTAACTGGGGTGAGCAGTAGAAAGCGTGATGGAATGCAGGTGACCTTGCAGAAGGAGGCAGGCTGCATGGGGGACACGAGAGCAAAATAAAATGACATGTTTGTACAGAGAAGCTTGGTGAGACCCACTGCTTTGTGTCCTGACCCAAACCTTAGAAAGGGGCTAAGTGTCATTAATCCCTGCTGTAGATGTAACCAACCATCTTATTAAATAAGAAACACAGAAACAATGTAAAAGAGAAAGCGGAGAGGTCAGAGCTCAGAGCTAAAATCTCACCCTTCCTCCTGCTGTCCCAGCTTCCCGAAAGAGAGCTATTTCCTGTGTGTAAATCGTTTTTCTAGTCATTCTGCCTTCTCATTGGTTGTAAACCCAAACACGTGACTGCCTCGTCACTGTCTGAATGTACAGCCCCCTAGGTCTTAAAGGCATATGTCTCCAATGCTGGCTGTATCCCTGAACACACAGAGATCTTATGGGATTAAAGGCGTGTGCCACCACCGCCACACTCTTGCTATGGCTCTAATAGCTCTGACCCCCGGGCAACTTTATTTATTAACATACAATCAAAATCACATTTCAGTACAATTAGAATACCACCACACCCTGCTCTTATTCATCATGCTGAATGTGGCAGACCTGTGTTACAGGTGCGAAACTGAGGCTCTGAAAGATTGAGAATCCAGTCCAAAATTAGTCAACTAATAACTAGTCAAGCCAAGATGTCTGAATTGTCTTCGGCCTCAAGGGCCTCCCTCCGTTGTGCAGCTATGAGTGTCTGAATGTACTGTGAGTGTGCTGTGGGAACTGCTCAGTTTTGTCTCAGATCAGTCCCATTTTCATATTAATCAGTCCCAGTCCTGCCAGTGTGTGGCCAGGAGACAGTAGTCTGGTCGGCAGAGCAGACCTAACAGACATGACAACTTGATGTGAAGATGGAGTGGTATGTTGCTAACTTTAAGAGTGTCCTCCATGGGCCTGGAGACCCTGCTGTATTGGTCCAGTCAGTGTTCAGGCCCTATCAGTCTCCTTTTGCTCTATTCTTGGGATTTCTCTCTTCCGGTGGTTTGTACAGACCAGTTTTTCCATCTTCAGTTCACAAGTCATGTGGCTTAATGTCCACATGGTTTTGTCTTTCTTTCCTTGCCTAAGGCAAAAATGTCAGAACTCAGGCATATGCTTTAAAACAATATAAATATTTTGCTTTGTGCTCCTGCTGTTAAGTACCACATAGGTAATGGAAACAGTGAATAACTAATACCGAGAAAGAATTTATGTGGTACTTCTGTGCCAGGGCTGATGCTCTCAAGTGGAGATTCAAGGAGCTCCTAGCATGTAAAGGGTAAGGAATCGACTCTTCCAGGATGGTCTCTAGCAGGCTTGGTACTTGCGAGCATCTCCTGGCATCCCATGCTTGTTTGCCGTCACTCTAGCCCACAATGCTCCTTAAGTCTTTTTTAAAATTACTTGAAGCTGCTTAGCTCCCTTTGTACACTGGACTATTAACTCTTGTTTGGTGATGATTCTTGTTCACAAGTATCGAGACTATGGGAGCCCAACCCCTCGATAGTCCCCTCCCAGGGTCTGGGAAGAATCTATAACCAGCTGATAATTAATATTTGATGGTAGGAAATTAATCTACATACACAAAACTCCCTAGTCCATTTATTCTTGTAAGTCAGTTTTTTCTCTACACTGCTTCTATTCTGCTCTCATGCCTAACTCCGTTCATGCCTGATTTCTCCTACGTTTCTCCTACATTTATCTGCTGTCCTCTTAAGTTCTATCTTAATTCTCTCATCTTAGTTCCGCCCCATCTAGGTTCTCATCCATCTAGTTCTTTTCCATCTTAGCTCCTCTCCCATCTCCTTCTTTCTTATCTTGTTCTTCCCCATCTAGCTCTTCCTCATCTTTCATCTCGTTCCTCTAGTCCTCTCTTCTAGCCCTTCAATCTAGTTCTTCCCCATCTCAGTACATTCCTCTCCATTTCTTACCCATCTAGTTCTTCCATTCATTCCCTTTTCTCTTCTCTGTCTAGTCCTCGTCTGAAAATAAAACTGCCCTTTTATCCCTTTGACCCTTATCTCTCCAAGCTATCTCTGCTCCTGCCATTTCTGGCAAGTGTGCTCCATTGCTAGGCAACTTCCATCACAGCTAGATATACCTATAAGTTGGAACCCTTTAGTTCTGAGTTAATTGTTAAGGGTGGATCTAAAACTAGAGATAAGACTTTGGAAAGGGAGAAAGTTAAGCTTAATTAGCACATCTGCCAGGCCTTCTCAAACAGGTAGTCTGGATACTTAAATCTGTTCTTAGAGAATACAGAGGTATCTCTGATAAGGTACTTTCCTCCGTCTGGGGATGGAACTAGCTGGATGCTGCCAGTGACGATAATTTCAGGGAGGCTTGAACTGGGGTTCTGGCTGAGCATAGCTGCAGCACAGAAGGTTATCCAAATATTCCTAGAAGTGGTTAAGTAAGGAGTTAGAGATCTATAAAGTTAAGTAAGCCTGTAAGAAAAGGAGGGTCCGAGCTAAATTGTGCAAAGCTATTGCTTAAGGTCCACCTGACCTAGGTGGTGTCTCCCTGTGGAATTTACCTTAATTCAGGAGACTTACTATGTGGTGATTTGGACTGTTGTTCCTGTTAGTCCTTGAATGTGGCTAAGGGAGATATCTGATTCCAGTGCTAAAAGGAGAAGAAACGGATGGACCTGAGGGAAGGAAGTCTTTCCTGAGATTTATTCTCCAAATTCCTCGAATGTATATGTCCAAATAGTGATCAGTCCACACTGTTAGCAATTCTTAGGAAAAAATGAATTGGAAAAGCTACGAAGGCACACATGATTTTTATAACAGAAGTCAGCTGATACATTACAAGCCAAGTAACACCAAAGGCTCCTTGGAATTTGGCTTCCTCTGGAGGAATTCCTTGATCCCTTCAGGTGGTGGCTCTGCCATAACCAGCTGAGTTCTTATAATATATTCCTGCGGCCCATAGCCCAGAAGACTCTCCCTGGCTCCACATCATATGGTGCAGCAGGCCTGCTTTTGGGGACCTGTGTCCCCACTTTCCCTGTGGGGACATTCTGTGCCATTCTGCCTGGCTGTCATCACTGTGGCCGTGCTTCACATCTGGGTTCTTTTCTTCCAGGCAAACCCTGTTTGCTAGTGCTGACACTGCGTATGTCCTGGCCTATTCCATTATTATGCTAACTACAGACCTGCACAGCCCTCAGGTAAGACACCCTGTGATTCATGTATTGTAGCCACAGACGTGACTGAATTTGTGTGGGCATTTCAGTGTTTTACAAATGTTTTTCTCTTTTCAAATTTCAGGTAAAGAATAAAATGACAAAAGAACAATATATTAAAATGAACCGGGGTATCAATGATAGTAAAGACCTACCGGAGGAGTATCTGTCTAGCATCTACGAAGAAATAGAAGGCAAGAAGATTGCAATGAAGGAGACAAAAGAGCACACAATTGCAACCAAATCTACCAAGCAGAGTAAGGCCTGCCTACTGCAGACTTGCCCATCAGCGCTAAGTTCCATTAGAATATAATCGCATCATTTTCCCCTTCCTTTTCCTCCTCCCATGCCCTCCTGTGGCTCCCCCCTCATTCCCTCAGATCATGGCCTCTTTTTCTTCCATTGTTATTGTTATATATACACATATGTATAAACACACACATATATAAATACAACCTGCTGAGGCCGTTTAATGTTGCTTGTAAGTATATGATTTCAGAGCCGACTCCTCAACCCTCGAGGAGACTGGTTCACCCCAGAGCAGTCCTTAGTTGCTTGTTGTTCTTTGTCTGGGAGTGGGGCTCAGCTCTGCCTTTTAGTACATCAGAAAGTATGATTAAGTACACTGCTGGTGATAAATTTAACTAGCATAGCTAGACACCTGAATAGTAATGTGATTAAATTAATTATGATGTGAGTCTTTCATAATCTGATTCTTGCTAGATTTGTAATTAGGAACAAGAAGGAATTTACACTGTATACCCTAAGAGTTAAATTGTCCTCCCCAAAGTGCTCCACAAAACTAACCCATGATGATTGTATCGGCTGTGGCTGGAACTCTTGACTAGTGCCTGTGGTGGTGTCAGTGCCCGAGATGCTCAGGAGCGGTGCCTAGAACACGGGACCGAGAGCCTCACTCCTCCAGCCACACTGCAGCTCTGTTGCTTCAGAGCCCCGTGAGGCGTTCATACCCAGACACCTAACCAGCCTGCCTCATCACCCCCATCTGTAAAATAATATTTGTAACAGGCTCACAAGCTGATTGGGAGACTTGTGAGTCAATCATGTAAGGCTTTTGAGGCAGTTCCTGGCGCATGGCAAGCGCTCTGTATGTGCTCTTACTTCTTTGCAGACGTAGCCAGTGAAAAGCAGCGGCGACTGCTGTACAATATGGAAATGGAACAGATGGCTAAAACGGCCAAAGCTCTGATGGAGGCTGTGAGCCATGCCAAAGCCCCATTTACCAGCGCCACACACTTGGACCATGTCAGGCCTATGTTCAAAGTGAGTATCCTAGGAAGTTAGCATGTTGCCAAGCCTAATTCTGCAGTTGGTCTGCTCTGAATTGGCTGGTGAGATTGCAGTGGGAGAGAATGGAGAGGAAAACCAGAGTGCTTCAATGGGGAGTCCCTTCTGCAAGTGCCAGCAGTCATGGCCTCTGCTCTCTACCATCTGGGTTTGAATCTTGGCTTTCTGCTTTGTAGCCATGTGGCCTTGCTCAGGTCGGTTACTCTACATCTTTTATTTTCTGTCAAATGGGGATGAAGACAGAACTGTTTTGGATGGTTTGATGGAGATTGAACAAATGAATAATTGTTCAAGCACATGACACTATAAAGGGACCATTTTGTTTTTGTTTTCGTTTTGAGAC